CCATCAGCCCATGCACGGGTCAGGAACGGGAGATTGAAGCGCTTGTGAGTTACTGGTTGGGCGCGTGGCCTTATGGGGGGCGCCACCGAAGGCCCCAATGTCAGGGTTCACGTGTGTCCCCTGGCGAATTTGGGCACGCACCCGCGCACACACACACACACACACTCACACATCGCAGGGTGGTTCGTGGCTTCACAGGGACCTTCACCGGAAGCTTCCGTAGCAGGGCTCACGTGATTCGAAGTCTAGGCTTGGTACACCCCTCACACGGCGCGTGGCCCCAAGGCTATGATGCTCCAACCTACTTGAGCCTCGATCACCAGGAAGAGTTTCGAGCGCCCGACGAAGTACCGAAGCTCAAGGGTTTTCACATGTCGGGCCCTGGGAGACACTCGTTTCGACATTGTTTCGACACTGTGTCGACACTCTTTTGGCACTTCTCTGGGTGCTCGAAATTGTTTTTGGGATGTGGTCCTTAAGTAGGATCGGAACAACATAACCCATAGGGATATTCAGGGAGTTTCACAGGAGGCCCTTGTGGCAAGGTTCGCATGCGTCCCGAGGCCCATTTTCGCGCACCCTCACACTGGTCGTCCACCGAAGGCCCCTGTGGCAGGGCTCGCGTGCGTCCCCAGGCCCGTTTTGGCACAACCCTCACACGGTTCGTGGCCCCACAGGGAGCCCCACCGAAGGCCCCAGTGGCAGGGCTTACATGCCTTTTCCAATCAAGTTTTGGCACAGTCTTCACACGCATCGCAGCCCCATGGGGAGCCCCACCGACAGCGGTATCGATTCCGCGGTACTCACACTTGCATATGGTTGGGTATCGTGGTGCTCTCAAGGTAGCGAGATGCCCACACGCATTCTGGTGCGTTCCGGTGAGTGCCCAGGTGCGTTGCACTCAGAGGCGCCAGTGTTCTCGCAACCGCCATCGTGTTCACAGGCAATTGCAACTACATCCTGTTTGCGTTTTCCCTCAGTGAATCCCCGTCTCCCTCCTTCACCACACGCATCATGCTTTCACAACCTTTCCATACCCCTCCTCCAATATGTGAAGTATTGTGCCCTCCTCGCCCGTCATGCTTCCTCTTGCCCACCTGGTTGTTTCCCCATGTCGTAAGCCAGGGTTCTTGTTATGACTCTGAACGCACCGTCTCCTCCACACCCTTCATCCTCCTCATCCGATTTTTCCTTACTCAGTGCCATGTAGCAATCAGGGTGGCTACTTGGGTGATGATATCATGACGGTGTGTCTTACAAGGGTGATGCCGAAAAAGTGTTCGTGGGTTGCGTTAGTGTTAGTAGATGCTGGTGGTGGTGATGATGATGATGATGCCGACGGAGGTGGCGATGCTGATGATGGTAAATGGCGAAAGTGATGATGACGAAAACGACGACGACGACGACCACGACGACGACGACGACGACGACGACGACGACGACGACGACGACGACGACGACGATGATGATGATGATGATGATGATGATGATGATGATGATGATGATGATGATGATGATGGTGGCGAAGATGACGATGGTGATGAATGAAAATGACGGTGGCGATGATTATGATTATGATGATGATAATGATAACGACCAGGATGATGATGCTGGAGCAAGTTTGAGGATGCCTCGGGCGAGGCGCTGGCTTTCGCTTCACGTGGTTCGCCTGATGTTGCCTGTTTTGGTGGCCAGACTCGCGTGCGTTCAGAGCAGATTCTGATGATGTCTCGGGCGAGGCGCTGGTTTCAACGCCCAAGGAGGGGACGCCAGGGAGTATCTCACTCCTCCGTTCGCGCCCAGATTGCGGGGATGTCTCGAGCGGTTTGCTTGTTTGCGCCCCTAATGTCCTCCGTTTTCGGAGGAGCTTTTGAAGACGTCTCGGGCGAGGCGCTGGTTTTCGCACCCCAGGGGCCCAGATTGCGAGAATATCTCCGACGTTTTGCTTGTTTTGGTGACCAGATTCGTGAACACGAATCCTCCCCGAGAGGCTCCAGGGCTCCAGGAGGCTCCAGAAGGCCCCAGGAAGTCCCAAGAGGCCCAAGGAAACCTCACAACCCCCGCGAAAAACTTCTGGGAAGACTCACGGTCCGCCTCCTGGAAGGCCACAGGAGACCCCGGGAGGCCCCAATAGGCTTGGATGCCCCAGGAGGCTCCCTAGAGGCTCCCTAGATGCTCCAGGAGGCCACAGGACGCGCCAGGAGGTCCCAGGAAGCACCGGGAGGCACCAAGAGTCCCGAGGAGGCACCAGGAGGTTCTCCTGTGGCCCCAATCCTCGGTGTTTACATGGTTCCTATAAATTGGGCCTCCCCTTGAACACGAATCCTTGGTGTTTACGCGTGTTCCTATAGGTTGCCATTCTCCTGCGTCTCCAACCCTAAGTGATTACCGATGGCTCTGTGTATTGGGCCTCTCCTGGGGCACGAGTCCTCTCCAGGAGGCTCCACGAAACCCCAGGAAGCCCCAGGAGGCGCTAGGAGGCTTCAGGAGGCCACAGGAAGACCCAAGAGGCACCAGGAGGCCCCAAGAGGCTCCAGGAGTCCCCATGAAATCCGAGGACGCTACAGGAGGCCCCAAGAGGCTCTAGGATGCCCCAAAAGTTTCCGTAAGGTGCTGGTCGCGGTGGGGCCCCAGGGTGGGGGCCGATGGGCCGGAGAGGCCGCGTCCGTTGGGCGTCGCGTAAGGGGGGGCGGGCCGATGAATGGTAAGGGCAGCGAGGGCTGCAGACAAGGGGCCCCGGAAGGGGCCCTTATTGAGGGCCCCGAAGGGGGGCCTTCTTCCAGGGCCCGAGCAGCGCCCCCCGCCCCGCCCCCCCCCCTCATTGATCGCCCCCACCTTGACTGATCGCCCACACCTTGAGGCGCCTCCTCCTCCTCCTCTCCTCCTCCTCCTCCTCCTCCTCCTCCTCTTCCTCTCCTCCTCCTCCTCCTCCTCCTCCTCCTCCTCCTCCTCCTCCTCGCCGCCGCCGCCGCCGCCGCCGCCGGCGCCGAAGCCCGGGGGGGCGTGAGCTTGCCTGCAGCTTTTCCGTTCTTCGGAGGGGCGCGCTCTTCCCTGCCGAAGTCTCCAGCGCCGTCCCCGCGCGTGGGGCGCGCGGGCGGCCCCCGCGCGCGGAGGGGGGCCCCTGCCGTCGCCGCGGCCCTTGTCGGGGCCCGAGGGCTGCACCCTCTCTCCTTGGCATGCAGTCGCTTGGCATCGCTCGGACGTGTGCATTTTTTTTCTTCGGCGAGAAGCATCGAGGAGCATCCTTGATCATCTGGCGAAAAGGCCTTGCACGAGACCAATAAAAAAAATCACAGGGAATGGACGTCCGAGCGATGGCGAGGTCGGGCCTGCCCCTCCACAGGAAGAATCTATTCACAAATGGTCAAAGAACTAGTCAGGGGACGATTTTTTTGTTCGATATGTTCTGATCCTTTGGGGGGTATTGTTGGACTTTCTTATTTTTCGCCCGACATCCCCCCGTATGGGGACGGGCCCGACCTGACCTTGGCATCGCTCGCACGTGCGCACCTGTTCTCGGCGAGGACCCTCGAGGGGCCCCCAGGCTTCTGGGGCGGCCACGTCGTTGCCGCCGTCGCCATCGCCTCTGCCGTCGCCGTCGTCGTCGTTTTGGTCGTGGTCATCGTCGTCGTCATTGTCGTCGTCGTCGTCGTCGTCGTCGTCGTCGTCGTCGTCGTCCCAGAAACGTTGCCATCTCTTCGATGACATTATTGTTGGGTTCAGGGTTCCCGGAATCCGCCATTTCGATCCGATCGACCCGGTTCGATATCGATCTTGGGGTCCTCTGGTCCGGTCCGAGCCCGATGCTCCGGCGATCCGACGCGGCCCGATGCTTGCGTGGTGCTGTTGTGCATCGTGACGCCGCTGATCCGGCTCGGTTTCGACGCGGTGCCGATGCAGAAGGATCCGACGCACGTTCGGATCCGGCCCGACCTCCTGGTTCGATGCTGGTCGACCTTGTCAAGTGGGGGGGGGGGAGGCTCGGGTTTCGGAACTTCTCTGAGGTTGTTGTTTGCTTTGGGAGGCCATCAGCTGCTGGGCGAGCAGGAGTAGGAGGAGGAGGAGGAGGCGAGGAGGAGGAGGCAGGGGGGGGAGGAGGCGGCAGGAGGAGGAGGAGGAGGAGGAGGAGGAGGAGGAGGGGGGGAAAAGGGGGGGGGGTGAAAAAGGAGGAGGAGGAGGAGGAGAGGAGGAGGAGGCAGGTGGGGGGTGAGGGGAGGAGGAGGAGGAGGAGGAGGAGGAGGAGGAGGAGGAGGAGGAGGAGGAGGAGGAGGCCATCCAGCCTCGGGGTGTTCTCCAGCAGCTGCGCCTCGCCGAGGGCCTCTCCGGGGATGCCCGGGTCGTCCCAAGCGGCAGCCGCAGGCCCGACTGGTGCACGTCCCGGAAGCCGCCGGGCGTCGAAGAGGGGGGACCAGAGGGGATGGGAGGGGGAGGGGGAGGGGGAGGGGGAGGGGGAGGAGGAGGAGGAGGAGGAGGAGGTGGAGGAGGAGGAGGAGGAGGAGGAGGAGGAGGAGGGGGAGGAGGAGGAGGAGGAGGAGGAAAAGGACGGAAAGGCACGAGGGGGGGGTGGGAGGAGGAGGATGGCATCACCTTCGCCTCGTCTTCGATCCTTCCCTATCTTTTTTTTGTTCTCTCTCTCTCTCTCTCTTGCTCGCTCTCCCTCTTTCCCCCCCTCTCTCTCTCTCTCTCTCTTTCCCCCCTCGTTCACGCCCTCTCCCCCTCTCTTCCTCTGCCTCCTTCTGGCCCTTCCTGCTGCTGCTCCTGCTGCTCCCTCCCGGCCTTGGCTGCCTCGATACGGCCGTTTTGAAACGCGACACGTACCGTGCTGAAAACGTCCGTTTCAATACGTTGCGAGTTGGCTCAGCGTATTGGCCCACGTTTCTGGCGAGCGCGTCGCATCATGCATACATTTTCGGTATACGTGTTGAGCTCCGTATCAATACGCTACGTGTTGCGTGTTGCGTGTCGGGGCAGCGAAGCTCCCGGCCCTCCACCCATTCCTCAGCCTTTGGGCTCAAATCCCGGCTCACCTCCCCTGGGGGCCGCCGTTGTCGCTGAGGAACACAGCACGGTGGCCGGGCTCTCGCGGGCCCGGCGCCCTCCGCGGGCCTGCATGGGCCGCACCCTTCCTCTGCTAGCAGGCAGGCCCGATCTGCCTCGTCGTCGTCCTCCTCCTCCTCCCTCCTCCTCCTCCTCCTCCTCCTCCTCCTCCTCCTCCTCCTCCTCCTCCTCCTCGCCCCCTCCCCTCTCTCCCTTCTCCCTGACCACCTGCTGGCTGCATTGTCGTATGACGAAGCCTCCTCCTACCAATCCCCCTCTCCACCTCATCCTCCTCCCCCTCCTTCCTCTCCCTCTGCTCCCCGCTCCCTCCTCCATCACCCTATCCTCCCTCCCCCCATCCTACTCCTCCTCCCCTCCTCCTCCTCCTCCTCCTCCTCCTCCTCCTCCTCCTCCTCCTCCTCCCCTTCGTCTGCTCCTCGTCTTCTCGGCGTCGCGCCTCCCCCTCCCCCAGGGGGCCGGCCTCTCGCTCGCCCCAGCCCGTTTAGTCATTGTTGGGCGGCCCCTGGGCCCGAGGCTGGCCTCGGGGGGCCCACCAACGGCGACGACGACGACGACGACGACGACGACGACGACGAAGACGACGACGACGACGACGACGACGACGACGAGGACGACGGACGAGGACGACGACGAGGACGAGGACGAGGACGACGGACGAGGACGACGAGAGCCCAGGGGCGACGGGGCCGCTCCGCCCGAAGGCACGAGGCCAGGCAGCGAGCCCCGTCCGCCCCGACGGATGCCTCGTGTGGGGCGCGCTCCGGAGGTCCGGGGCCGCCGCCGCCCTCGGGCGCTGCGCGGTTCGGGGGGTCGTAGGTCTAGGCTTCCTATAGTCAGGAGGGGAAAAAACACACAGACACAATTAATCGGCGATTCCCAGAAAATATGGGAAAATATGGGAAGTGGGGGGGAAGACAAAAACCCAGAAAATATGGGAAAATATGGGGGATATTTTTATTTGTGTGTATTTATTTGTGTGTCCCAATTCCCCTTCATATAGGTGGGGGTCAGAGCAGACGGGGGGGGGGTTGCCGGGGGAGGGGGGGGCTATTTTCGGAGGGCCCTGACTCCAGGTCCGCCCTACTTTTTGGCCTTTTTTCCAACTTGAAACTGCGTCGGAGATCCACCTAGAAGAGGCCGAAAAAGTAGGGCGGATACTTCTGCACCCAACATCAAGTAGGGCGGAAATCCACAGGAATAGGGCGGAAACAGCAACAGAAAAGTAGGGCGGAAATTGGCATCAGCCGGGCTTGAAAAGTATGGCGGAAAGTCCAAGCCCTACTTACGAATTTCCCCAAAGTAGGGTGGATCCGGAGTCGGGGGGGGGACCCCCGGGTTCCGGAGGAAGAGGGGGGGAATTTTCCACAGTACAGCGGCGGTGGATCACGCTCTCTCAGATCTAGGCTTCCTAGACGGGGTCAGAGCAGACGGGGTCGGAGGATCGCGCCGCATCGTCGCTGCATTGTCGATGCGGCTCGATGTGCAGCCCGCTCTGCTTCACGTCACCGTCGCCGATGCATCGCCGAGGTCGACGATGATGTGTTACCGATATGTCGGCGATTCGGCGCGATCCTCCGACCCCATCTACTCCGACCCCATGTAGGAGGCCTCTAGTAGAGGGAGGGTTATGCCAATGTGGAACTGGGGAACGGGCCCAGCTGAATGCTCCCGTTTAACGCGTTTCCTTTTTCCAGAGGCCGTTTGGAGCGATTTTCCCTCCAACCCCACCTTTGCCCCAACCCCACCTTTGTGCCTTCCCGAGTGATGGAGGGGCGATAACCTCGAAGGAGAAGAAAAAGCATAAACACAAGCTTTTGGCGCTCCGCGCGGGTTTCTTGGATCCGCGCTGGGCACCCCCCGGCGGCGCCTCTGGCGCCGCGCCTGGCGCGCGGAGCGCGCCAGGGAGGGGGGCCCGGCGCACATCCAAGAAATCTGCGCGGAGCGCCAACAGTTTATGTTGATGGCTTTTCCTTGACGATGGGGGAGCGATAAGCCTTCAGATCCGGCCGTTGCAATTTTCTCGCTTGGTTTTCACACTGGGCGTTTGTATCAGGTCTAGGGCCCCGGGACCCTCACAGATCGATCCAGCTCGAAAGATGACGCAGATAGATGGGGTCCAGGGCTCGGGTCGTGATTTTTCTGCGATTGTGCACTTTTTGCAGCGTCGGCTCTCAGGGTCACGGGGGGGAAGAAAGCTGCACCTTTCGTACCCTAAACGGGCCCTGAAACCCAAAGATATTGGTACGAAAAGTGCACGCTTCCTCTACGGGAACAACAAGTCACGTAAACATAAAAACTCCGAGGTCCGCGCGGATTTCTCGGATCGGCGCTGGACCCCCCTTCCTGGCGCGCGGAGCACGCCAGGGGCGGCGCCGGAGGCGCCGCCGGGGGGCCCCAGCGCCGATCCGAGAAATCCGCGCGGACCTCCGAGTTTTTATGTTTATGCCTCTTTTTGCTCCCCTATACTCCCCCGTGTGCAGTCAGCCCGCATAGTAAGGATGATCGACCTTCCAAGGGGTGCCCTTGCTGCTTCCTTGCCTCTTCGGTCATCTCCGGTCCATCCTCAACCACGTTCGGTGGACAGCCCCGCTCGAGGAGCCTCGGCGTGGGCGCCCAAGGCCTTGCATCCTCGCCGTGCATCCTTACTATTTGGGCTGACTGTGTCGCCCCCCCCGTGGAGGACTGCCCGACGCCCCCCCAGGGACGGGCAGGCCCGCCAGAGGGCGAGATCTCTGCCCTCTGCCTCCGCCTCCCCCCCAGACCTCCGACGTCATGATTTCTTGACGGGTCGCGCATCCTCACCAGCTTCTCCGTCACTGGCGCTGTGATTCGTCCTCATCTGCAGTGGTGGAGGCGCCCGTCACCTGGCCGTGCACTCTGTCCGCCCCGTGGTTTCGAGTGTTCTGGCAGTCTGGTCCGCGCGTTCCGACCAGCTCTGGCAGTGCATGCGCTTTCCTGGCTCGTGCAGTGCGTGCAGGCCCCTGGGATGCTGGTGCTCGCAGGAGTGGTTCACCCTTCTTGCCCAGCCTGGCGTGGCCCCTGGCGGTCTGCTTCCCATTCCTCTGGGCGCCCGGTGGCGACAAGGTAATTCCCGTGCCTGGCGATCTCGCTCCCATGGTACTTGCACGTTGCAACTTTCCAGCCGCCTTCGCAGCTGGCAGCTTCCACCCCCCAGCGCAGCCCAGCCCCGGCGCGGCTCCCCTCGGCGGTCGGATTTGTCTGCTTGCTCCGCTCGCGCGCCGGCAATCAGGGCGCTCGCGGCCCGCGTTACTCATCCGACGCTTTTGGCGCGCTCGCCTCTTGCTGCGAAAAAGATCCTCACCAGCGCTACGACTCTTGGACGGCGTCCGGCGTTCCCGGTGCGCTTGCGATCAAAAAAGATATGATCACCAGTCGGCGCGGCCCGCCCTAGCTTGCACGGCGTTCGACTCGTCTTCGCGCGCCCGCGTACCACAAAAGGATCCTCACCAGTTCGGCACGCTTTGCGTTAACTGGTGCTGCAGTTTTGATCGACGTGACTTTGATGCTGATTTGTGTTGCCTCCCGCGCAATTTTGGCTACGTTGAGCCCAGTTCCGCCCTGAACCCGGTGCCGCTCACTTCGCTGTTTTCCCCTTTGCTTCGGCGCGGCCCGTCCTAGCTTGCTCGGCGTCCGATTCGTCTTCGCGCGCCCGCGTACCAAAAAGTATCCTCACCAGCCTATCCAGACGCGATGGGAGGTTTTCTTGGGGCCTCTTGGCGGCTATCTTGTGACCTGCTCGGCCAGAGGCTGTCGGAGGCTGTCTTGAGCCATCTCGAGGTTGTCTTGAGGCCTCCTGGGATTCTGCCGGAGGCCATCCTGAACCAGGCTCGACCTCTTGGAGCCACCCCCTGACGTCATGGCTTTCGCCACAGCATCGACCCCCAGAGGTCTTCACCCATCCCATGGAAAACTCCGAAGCCGAATCTGCCGCCATTGCAAACTTGGCGCGCCGCCCCGCTTGGAGCTTGAGGGGCGCGCCGAGGAAAGGGACGATGATGATGGGGAAAACGTGGGAGGAGGAGGAGGAGGAGGAGGAGGAGGAGGGAGGAGGAGGAGGAGGAGGAGGAGGGGGAGGGGGGGGAGGAGGAGGAAGAGGAGTGGGAGGAGGAGAGGAGGAGGAAGAGGAGGAGGAGGAGGAGGAGGAGTAGGAGGAGGAAGGAGGGGGAGGGGAGTCGGAGGGAGGAATGGAGGAGGAGCGGAAGGAGGAGGAGGACGGGAGAGGGGAGGAGGAGGAGGAGGGAGGAGGAGGAGGAGAGGAGAGGAGGGGAGGAGGGAGGAGAGAGGAGGAGGAGGGAGAGGAGGAGGAGGAGGAGGAGGAGAGGCGGAGGAGGAGGAGGAGGAGGAGGAAGGAGGAGAGGAGGAGGAGGAGGAGGAGGTAGGAGGAGTAGGAGGAGAGGAGGCGGAGGAGGAGTTTGAGGAGAGGTTTAGGGAGGAGGGGGAAGGGAGGGGAGGTTGGAGGAGGAGGAGGAGGAGGAGGAGGAGGAGGAGGAGGAGGAGGAGGAGGAGGAGGAGGCAAGGCACGGCAAGGCAGCTCCTGCAAGGGGCCCGAACTGTATCTTGCGTCGTTCCGTTGGCGGCCCCGCTGCCTGGCGGCGGCCCCCCTTCTGGGTGCCGAGCACGGGGAAAGGCTGCCCGTCGTGCTTCTCGCGTGGCCCGGGGTCGAGCAGTGGCGAAGCGTCCAGGCCTGCCTGCGGGCCCACCACCTGCTGTTGTAAGGGCCTTTTTCGTGGCTTGCGCGAAACGGGCTTGGAACCTGTTTGGGGTGAGGCCGCCTTGTTCAAATATGTGTGTGTGTGTGCAAATTCGTGTTTAAGTATACATGTAGATGCACACACAGTGTTTATATAGGTTCGATGTATATGTATGTATGCATGTGTATGTATGTATATTTATATACACGTATATATATATATGTGTGTATGTATGTGTATCGGTCTTATGGTCGAAGAGCCTTGCTTCTGTTTTTAGAGAACCTTTCGTGGTTGGCCTACGGGAATGCCGGGACGGTCGGTCCTTGCTCATCGAGGGGGGGTCCGGGCCGCCTGCCGGCAGGCCTCGCCCTGGAGGCCTCCGCGTGGCACCTCTTCGAGGGCGGCGCGCTCCCGGGCGCAGGCGGCTCTGGGGCCACGCGCAGAGGGGGGGGTAGCCCCTGAGGGTCTTCAGTCTTGCTCCCCCGCCCCCGTGCCTCCTCCTCCTCTCCTCCTCCTCCTCCTCCTCCTCCTCCTCCTCCTTCCTCCTCCTCCTCCTCCTCCTCCTCCTCTTCCTTATCTCATCATCATCTCATCTCATCATCATCATCATCATCATCACATCATCATCATCATCATCATCATCATCATCATCATCATCTCATCCTCATCCTCATCCTCATCCTCATCCTCCTCATCTTCATCATCATCATCACCACCACCACCATCATCATCATCATCATCATCATCATCATCATCATCATCATATCATCATCATCATCATCATCATCATCATCATCATCATCCATCCGCTTCCTGTCCTTCCTCCTCCTCCCCTCCTCCTCCTCCTCCTCCGCCCCCTTTTCCCTCCCTCCTCCTCCTCCTCGTCCTCTCCCTCCTCCGTTACTCATCCTCCTCCTCCTCATCATCCTCCTCCTCCTCTTCCTCCTCCTCCTCATCATCATCATCCGCTTCCTCTCCCTCACTCCTCCTTCCCCCCTCGTCCTCTCCTCGCGCTTCCTCCTTCCTCCTCCTCCTCCTCCTCTCCCTCCGTTTCTCCTCCTCCTCCTCCTCCTCCTCCATTCCTTTTCCTGTGACATACTCTGAGTCTCTTAATAAGCGTCTCGGGGGCGTCACCTCCGCCGACAGCCCCACATCGACCCACGTCGCGGGCAGCCACCGCGCGCCGAAGGCGCTCCGACCCCCGTCGCGGCGCGACGACGAGGCGAGGTTGACCCCCGTCGGGGGGGGTACCAACCCACGCTGATTAAGAAACCCAGAGTAACTCCTCCCTGTCGCACCCCGAGGCCGGTCGAAAGGGCGGGCTTGGCGTTTCGCCTGAGACGTCCTGACCATTTGCGACCCTGAAGCTTAAGCATTGACAACAGTTACACAGCACCTGCACAAACACTGGCTCCTTGGACCTTCCGAAATACTTCTTCTGATCCGAAACCCCGTGGCACTCGCCTAACTCCACCCCAAGGGCCCCGCTGAGCTGCTGATGGCACCTATCAAGGGCGTCCTTACCACCCGGCTGCCGCACCTGGTCGAGCAGCAGCTGGTAATCTCTGGGTTCAGGCCTGGGTCCGATGACTACCTCGTTGGGAAAGGCGGCAGGCTTCTTCAGCACCCTCACGAGGTGTTCCGTGGGCTTGCTTTTACACTGCACAATGACTGGCCAATGTGGCTTGGTCGAGGCCTCCCTATTGACGTGACAAGGGTGGACGTTCCTGCCAAGCCTGCCGACATCAGAAAGAAATCAATGGTCTTCCAGACCTTGGCCGTGGACTTACAGGTGTAGGTGGAAGGATGGACGACCTGGCCCCCGAGTTTTCCAGCCCACCCCGTGTCAATGAACCTATCAGGAGACACATTCCAATCTCCTCCCAGGATCGAGAGGGGGCCCCAACTGTGAAGGCGTTCCCCTAGACCACTGAGTATTTGACTTCCCTCTGGTCCTAGCGGGTCGATGTCGGGAAGGTAGACCGAGCCTAAGATGAACCCGCTTGGGGCAAAGGTGTTGACCCACCGCGGTGCCTGACGATGAGGAGCTGGCAGATCGCGCGCAGCCGTCGGCGGCATCCCCATGCCGATGAACTTCTGGCACGCAACTGCTACTCCCGACGACGGGCCGCCTGCGTCAGTGACTATGGATGGAGACAGGCTGACGTTCCAGCCTGGCCCCCGAAGTGTTTGCTCGCGCTACTGCTGCTCGCTAGGCTCCACAGTGATCTCTTGCAGTACAGCTACGCTGGACTGGCATTCCCCTCCGAGGTACGGTTTCGCCGACTTCCAGCACGTCGTGCTGCATGTTTCCATCGAGAAAAAACTCTCCCCCAGGCCAGCCCTAGAACTGAATGCAGTCTGCTGACGTGCAAGCTTCTTGGATTGCGTCTTGCTCAATCTTAAATGCTGTGGCAGCTGCGGCTCCCAAGCAGGACATGCAGGCTCCTGCTCGGGAAAGGAAAACAAAACAAGGGAGGACGACCGAGAGGCGGCAGCGGCATGGACAGCGGCGGCGGGAGACAGAATATACCAGGTGGCGCGCCGAAAGGAGAGCCCCCCCGCACCTGCCGCGCGGCCCAGGCCTCAACGCCACCTGTCGCGATCGAGTCTCCCCCGCCGGCCCGAGACCCGCTGCCCGCCCGACCGCCCCTCCCCCGCGGCTGCCCGGCCCGCGGCGGCGCCCCCACAGCGCTGCCCGCAGAGCGCCCCTGCCTCCTGCCTGTTGTGCACCCCTGGCGCCTCTCGCCGAGGCCGCTCGTGCAGTCCGGCGCGCGCCGCGCTGCTGCGTCGGCAAGGAAGGCTCCCGAGCGGTCGCGGTCGACCAGGCCGTCGCAAAACAGGGCTAGGATCGGGATAGGAGGAGGAGGAGGAGGAGGAGGAGGAGGAGGAGGATGTCTAATTCTTCGAAGGTTGATTGACTTTTGCTGGGGGAGGCCAGGATCCTCTCAGTTCTAACTGTTTTCCATCCTGGGCCCCCTCCTGGCCACCAGGGGGCCAGGAGCAGTCAGAAACGAGCACAACTAGAAACGAGCAAGATGCGTAAAACAGGGCTAGGATCGGGATAGATCGCTCCAGAGCGTTCCGGAGCGCTCTCAGAGCGTTCCGGAACGCTCTGGAGCGGCCGCGGCGCCCAATGCATCCTCCAGATCCGCCGATTCTCGGAGATTTCGAGTTGTCCCGATCCGATTTTGTCCCGATCTTCGCGTCGTTTTACGTCGCCCTCGCCCTCAGCGGCTGCGCCGCCCGCAGCGGGAGCAGCGCCAGCAGCGGCGCCAGGGCCAGGGCCGCCGGCAGTCGCCTCTGACTGAGGCCGTGGCGGCGCCTCCCTGGAGGGGCCCCGCCTCGGCGGGGCTGCTCCTCGGTCTTTCCTCCTCTCGGTGGAGATCCGCTCGACGTGCTCCTCTCGGGGGAGCGTAAGACCCGGGTTTGCCAGGACTCGGGTTCGCCATCGTTTTTTGACGACCGCGACTCGGATCTTGACGAGCAGGAGTTTCGTGGGATGTCTGCAGCGGGAGGCCTCGTCAAAATGCAGGCTCGGCCTCGTCATTTTTTTGACGACCTCGTCGGGGATTTCTGACTCCCCTGTACCCGGGTCTTACGCCCCCCTGATCCTCGTGCTCCTTCTGGAGGCTCTGCGCAAACTCCTGCGCCGAGCCGAAGAAGGTCTTCGCCGCCAAGTCCGCGATCCCCTTCTGCATCTTCCCCTGGCGTGCCGTGGCTTCCTGTCGATCCTGCTCCGGCACCTCGTGCATCGTCGGGTCCACGAGGCCGAAGAGCGTCTCGCACCCCCCGAGGTCGAAGCATGTGAGGTCACCCTCCAACAGCTTGGACAGCGGGATGCGGTGCGCCGAGCCGCCCTGCGTGCCGACCACGTTGGTGTGCAGCTTGTCCAGCAGCTTCTTGTAGTGGTTGTCCGCCTCTCCCAGCTCCTCGGTGAGGGACTGCACGAGACTGGTCTGCTCACGCAACGTGCTCTGAGTGTGCTCGTACTTGGACGCCTCCAGTTTGAGCTTGGCGTCAAGGTGCTGCACCTTCTGATGTGCCTGCTGAGCTTGCACCTGAGGAGGCGCAGCCCTCGGCTCCATGGCGAGCCGCTTCTTATACCCGCGGATGGACTTGAACCTGGTCTCCATGGCCCCGTCTCCGAGCTTGCTCGCGACCGCGACCAGGTTGTCGACTTCCTCACCAGACAGCTCAAGCTCCCTGTTCGTGACTCCAGGCGGGGGCTGCAGGCCCGCCGCCCAGGCGGGCTGTCGTATGCGTCCCAGGTAGGACCCTCATCTTCTCCTGGGATTGGTTCTTCCCGTGACTGCGTACAATGCTTGCAGTACCGTTGTGCCCATGGAGTCGTTTTGCGCCCGCAATGCTGACAGCGCCACGCGTGGACGCCCTTGCCTGAGTTCTTGGGCCTGCCTCGGTCATTCTCCACCTCCTCCCCGCCTCGGCCCTTACCACTCGTATGGTTCCAGGACTGTCTCCACGCCATCGCTGTGACTGCAAGGACTGGCGCTGGAAATCTGGTCCCGCTGCTGCGGGGGGAGGGCCGAAACTAGAAGAGGAAATCGTGAAAGCTGATCCTCACCCTGGGCAGGGCCACTGACCGAGGATCTGGGCGGTCCCTCGACCACCTCGAGCCCCAACCCCAGGGAAGGCGAAGGCCCCGGGCAATGGCCTTGAGCCAAATGGCTACGGATCTCCTCCTCCTTCCTCCTCCGCCTCCTCCTTCCTCCTCCTCCGCCTCCTTTTCCTCCTCCTTCTCCTCCTCCGCCTCCTCCTTCCTCCTCCTCCGCCTCCTCCTCCTCTTCCTCATCCTCCTTCTCCTCCTCCTCCTCCTCCTCCTCCTCCTCCTCCTCCTCTTCCGTTTCGGTCTTCCGTCTTCGTTTTAGGCCGTGGGGCATCAGGTTGGTGTTCGTCGTTAGGGAGGTGGGGCGATGTAGGAAGCTTGAGTGGGGGAGGGGCGTGTCCACCCAGCATGTTTGGGACGTAGCCCGACGCAGGCAGTGCCATAATTTGGCATATTGTGGGATGGAACACCCTCCCGCCTCCTCGCCCTCCCCCGCCTCGTTCCCCCTTTCCCCCTACACTCACACTCCCCCCCTTGCGACCTGTCCCAGGGCTGGTAGCCCAAGCCAAGCCGGCTTCTGTTGTGGGGCTGCCAGCCAGGGCGGGTTCCCGTTAGCACCCCCCATAAACAGGCTGCGAGTCGGGGTTTCCCCAAGCAATGGGTGTCCCCCGTTGGCAGTACCAAGTGCGGCCAACGGCCCCGAGGGACTGCTCAAGGGCGGCCCGCTCGCGGACCTGGCTGCTTGGTCAGTGATCCTCCTCCTCCTGCTCCTCCTCGCGCGAAACGCTGGGGCTCCCTCCTCCCCCTCCTGCTCCTCCTCCTGCTCCTCCTGCTCCTCAGTGATCCTCATCCTCCTCCTGCTCCTCCTCCCCCTCCTGCTCCTCCTCCTCCTCCTCCTGCTCCTCCTGCTGCTCAGTGATCATCCTCCTCCTCCTCCCCCTCCCCCGCCGCGCCCCCCCCCCCCCCCCCCCCCCCGCGCGAAGCGCCTAGGCTCCCGGGGCGACGCCTGCGGCAGCGTGCCCGTGGCCTCGCTGCGGGGCCCGGGGGACTTCGCGGTGGGCACCCTGGAGGACGCGGCGCGCGGCGCCGTGCCCGCGTGCCCCGTGAAGGATCGGCGCCGTCCTTGTCGTCGCCGTCGTCGCCGTCGTCGCCGTCGTCGTCGCCGCCGCCGCCGCCGCCGTCGCCGTCCTCGTCGTCGTCGTCGTCGTCGTCCTCGTCCTCGTCGTCGTCGTCGTCGTCGTCGTCGTCGTCGTCGCCGCCGCCGCCGCCGTCGTCGTCGCCGCCGCCGTCGTCGTCGTCGTCGTCGTCGCCGCCGCCGTCGTGTCCTCGGGAGGCGGCGGGGCTTCGCAGAAGGCCTCAGGCCTTCTGCACGGTGCCCTGCGCCTTCGGGGGAGGCTTCCCGGACATCTCGCGGGGTGGACGTCCGACGCCCTTGGCCGGTGGCGTCCCGATGCCCCTGGCCGCAGGGCTGTGGCTTGCGACTGCTCACGGACGGCTCCTCCCCGAAGTTTGCTTTCTTCCCCTCGGTGAGCCGTGCCTCGGGCCCCAGATGGCGTGACGCGATGGGGGGCGGCGTGCAGTGTCCTTTGGGACTTCCGAGCCTTCTGTGAATAGGGGGTGCCTGGGGACCTGGGCCTTGCCCTCGCGTGGAGCAGCGGGGCAGGTGCCCGTCGTTGTCGGCGCTGTGATGCGTAGGAGGAGGAGGAGGAGGAGGAGGAGGAGGAGGAGGAGGAGGAGGAGGAGGAGGGGCACGAGCAGGGGCATAAACCTAACAACTCGGAGGTCCGCGCGGCTTTCTCGGATCCGCGCTGAACCCCCCCCCTGGCGGCACCAGAGGCGCCGCCCCTGGCGCGCTCCGCGCGGCAGGGAGGGGGTCGAGCGCGGAGCCGAGAACTCCGCGCGGACCTCCGAGTCTGTACGTGTATGTCATTGCTTGCTTCCCTAGAGAAGGCCCACCCCTTCTCGCTTCCCCTAGCGAAGGCCCTAGAGAAGGCCCACCCCTAGAGTAGGCCCTGGAGAAGGCCCACCCCTTCTCGCTTCCCCCCCCCCGGGCTCGCCGCCGACAGGAGGGCACCGACGCGTTCCAGGCCGGCGGCCACGCGGGCGCGTTCCAGGCCAGATCGCCATGGGCGAATCGGGTCTTTCTGGAAAATGTGGGAAGTGTGTGTGTGTGTGTGTGTGTGTGGGGGGGGGGAAGACGAAAGTGCGGAAAGTCTTGGGATGTGTGTGTGTGTGTGCATTTTTTTGGGTGAGTGCGTGTGTGCGTGTGTGCGTGTGTGCGTGTGTGCGTGTGTGCGTGTGTGTGCGCGTGTGCGCGTGTGCGCGTGTGCGCGTGTGCGCGTGTGCGCGTGTGCGCGCGTGCGCGTGTGCGCGTGTGAGTGTGCGTGTGCGTGTGCGTGTGCGTGTGCGTGTGCGAGTGCGAATGTGGTGGTGTGTGTGTGTGTGTGTTCGCGTGTGTGTGTGTGTGTGTGTGTGTGTTCGTGTGTGTGTGTGTGTTCGTGTGTGGTGTGTGTGTGTGTGTGCGTGTGTGTGTGTGTGTGTGCGTGTGTGTGTGTGTGTGTGTGTGTGTTCGTGTGCATGTGTGTGTGTGTGCGTGCGTGCGGGTGTGGGTGTGGGTGTGGGTGTGGGTGTGGGTGTGGGTGTGGGTGTGGGTCAAGCTAGCCAGCTCGAGCGAGTCAAGCATGGTATGCCCATTCCCACCCGCCCTCCCACAACATAAGAAACAGTAATGGCACA